GATAGATAGATAGATAGAGAGAGAGAGAGAGAGAGAGATAGATAGATAGAGAGAGAGATAGAGATGGTGATAGACAGTGGTGTCTCTGATAATGTGGTTAGGAGCTTCACCAAAATCAATGACTGCTTTGCCATTAAAATAAACCAGTCCCCTAACATTACATCTCCATGGTTACGCTCAGCGAGGCAGCTGGAAAGGGCAGGCGAAGGACAACATGACACTGCATTCAGACAGGATTTGATGCATTTGTTCACTCACAAATCTCCTGATATTAGGCAGACGTGTTCCTCCGGAGATCACTCAGATCAGCACACGTGAACCTGCTGAACCTGACAGCTTTCATATGAAGAACTATTAGGTGTCCTGCAGCTTTACTGTGCTGACTGGATTTTACATAAGGCCCGCTTTTGACTAAGAAAAACAATCAATGTGTTGCATCACAGAAAACCAGTGTGTTGACATCAAATCATGATTCAAAACAGCACAAATGTACCAGTATTAAGTAAACATTTGTGGATGTCACCAATGACATATCAGATGTTGCAATAAATTGACCGTAACTCAAGAACATCTGCCTGGATCATCTTAAACCATCATCATGTTAAACAGTGACTGAGCTATTTGTTCATCATAATAATTATTTCAAGAAGGACATTTTGTATTTAGTTTTACTAAAGTTCATTGATTAATTATATTTGAATTGATAGTTGAATTAAATTAAACAATCAGAACGCTCTCTGCAACACTGATTGTTAGCTGAGAGCCAAAATAGAAGAATTTCTACTTTTGGGGGGAAAAAAAATACTAGAAATTTACAGGACAATTTACAGGACAAAAACTAGTTAGTAACATAATCCATTATATTACATATTTCATGTAATATAATTAGACTACTTTTTGATTACTTTTAGATTACTTTTGACCTAACTCGTTTATCACATTGATTTAAATAGGATAATATTGTACCATATTTATATAAAAAATACAAAGTGAATGAAAATATATTCCATTCACTGTTATTATCAAAGCTTGGGGTTCGTGAGTTTAATAAAAGGCTAATAATTAATTAAATCATAAAAATGTAAAATTAAAATAAATCTTTTTACAATGACAACAATCAAAATGAAAAAAAATAGATATTGTACCTATTTACCCGCATGTCGTGTGACCATGTGAATAATGTGTAATAATGTAATCAAATAAAAAGTGACTGTAGTCTGGTAATTCCATGGAATCCAGATTACATATAATCACTTACTACCCAGCACTGTATGTACAGTATCTTATGGGTTCTATTCTGTGGAGTGCTTATCTTTAACAGTTTCAATAAATGTAAGATGTGTTGTAAATGAATGCATTCATAAATTGCCTGCCTGCACAATAAGGAAAGAATCCAAACAATGCAACAACATTTGAAGATTGTTCAGTCACATCAAAGAGCTGAATGATTTCTTCTGGTCAGGGAGAGTCAGGAGGGCACGTTTCCCCTTTAGATTACGAGCAAATGCTCCACGGAAACATTTCATTAAAGTAATTAGTCTGGTTGAGCGGAACTGTACAGTGGTTTTGACAGCGCTGGCAGATGCTAATTTACCGCTCACTGGGACTCACACATATATGCAGAAGCAGTGTGTTGTTTTCTGCGATGGAAAGGCAGCTGCAGTCTTTCATTAGCAGAAAGAGTGAAGAAAACCAAGGAGAATCTAATGAACTGGCATGGCAACCGTCTCATCAGAGGGACGGAACTTGATTGAGTGTTATTGTCAACATGCTAATAGTACTATTCTTCAGGCTTAAAGATTTGAACAATCATCTATCCCTATTAAACTTCCGTGTGAAAGACATTATTATATATGTTTAGCAATATTTTGCATTTGCACTATTTTTATATTTCATTTTAGTTTAATTTGTAGTAATTTTATGTGATTTTTTAAAAATATTTTGGTTCTTAAAAATATTTTTCATTTGTTTTATTTCAGTTTTATTTCAATTAACAAAATGTTTTAATAGTTTTAGTTTTAGGTTTAGTTAATGATAACCACACTGTAAGATATGAATGGCACCAAAATGTGTGGCTTGTTATTCATATTTAAAGCTTTTATTTTTATACTTTCATTTTAGTTTAGGTTTTGGTAATTTTGTCATGTGAATTTGACACATTTATTATAGCTTTATATATACATATATATATTTTTTTTTTAAATGTAAAACTTTTTTTGCTTTAAATTTAATTTCACTTAGTAATTTTTGTACTTAAGCTTAACATTAACAAATGTTTTGTTTAGTTTAAAATGTTCATTTTCTATTTTTATTTCAATTCAGCTTAATGTCAATTAACAATTAAAAATGTTTTAGTATTAGTTTAACAACAACACTGATGGCAAGTTGTGCACAATTCAAAAAGTATCATGTTTATATCACAGACAATAAATAATCTTTATGAATTAACAGGTCAGTAATGTTTATTGACCTGTGCATATGTGGATTCAGCAAACAGCCAATGGTTTCTCTCCCGTGACGTTCATGCTCTGCTAAATTCAGGCGGCATTCTATGGCACAAATAGCCGGAGTGTTGGTGAACAGCTGCAGTGGTGAGCTTTATCCATGTAACCTCTGCTAACCCCACACACTCACGTATACACACACACTTCCACCACTATATTTAACCCTAATGGAGACAACGGCACACTAGACATCTGTTGAACGCCAGCAGCTCTTTCACTGCATTGTTAAACGGCTCATCCCTATCTAATGTGAAAATGGAAACTTGTTCACAGACACACAGGCGAGGGATCTGTGCCTTTATAGGGGCACGTTGGCAGTAATTATCAGCTCTGAAGACTCAGTAGAAATATACTTTAGGGTCCGGACTGAATGCTGTGCTGTTTAATAACTAAAAATGACAGTTTTAATAAAAACAGTAATTCAACTTAATTTTAATTATTTAAATTATTTTTTATTAATTTCATTTATTTAAAAGGTATGCATTTTTGTTATTTTAGAAATAATTTTATTTTAGAAATATATTTTATTTTGTTATGTTTTTTTTAAATTTTTTTATGTTTATGTTTAAATGAAAGTCCTCGAAGAATCCAATAAAGCTAGAATAAGATCATCTGTAATATATTTGCTCTTAGACAGGTGGAGGAAACCATTTAAAATAAATAAATAAACAAACTATTAAATGATAATATTAAATGAAGGGATTAATTATGCTTACCAATATATATGTATAATTTTTGTATTTGAGTGTGCACAGTTTTCGTTTATAATAGTTTTTTCCAACAGGTTATCAATACATGTCTTCTTCTGGAGCTCTTGGAAGAAGTAGGCGGGGCCACTGAAGGGTCTCGTCGGCTGCCATTGGACGAGACCCACAGAAGGCGGGACCTAAACAACCCCCACTACTCATCCATACAGCCCTTCACTAATTCACTTCATTTTTCAAAGCAGTGAGAGACGCGCTTTGTCTCTATTGTGATCAAACCACACGAGGAGAAGACCTACAGGAACATAAAGCAGCCGAAACACTGGAAACTTAAAGCAAGAGCAGCATTTCTCATTTTAGTCGTGAAGATCTTTGAATCCTGTAGCTCACTAACCGGTAAGTAATACATGTTTATTGGCAAAGTGTGATCTGTTCGTCTTTTAAGTACTTTTAAGAGAAGATGCATAATTAATAAGATCAGAAACGAAAATGAGTGAAACAAAATACTTGAGTTAAATATAATTTATGGGGAAAATGGACTCGTTCTGAATATATCAGTTATTGTTGACGCAAAAAATACCGTTATACCCTTATACCCTTTTCTTTGTGATGGTCTTAGAGAGCTGGACCGTATTATACATATAAGTTATATGTAGGCCTATATATAGCCTGTATATTCTGAGTAACATATCACTCACAAAGTAAATAAAAAAGCTATAGATATATTTCACACACACACACACACACACACACACACACACACACACACACACATATATATGTGTGTGTGTGTGTGTGAAATATATCTATAGCTTTTTTATTTACTTTGTATGCGAGTCAGTGACGTCACGTGCATTTTTTGACCAGATATGTTACTTTACTGTTTTTTACTATTTTTTTTATGTTATTCAGAAATATATAAAAAATGCAGTTCATACATGCAATGATTTGAATACCCCTCTTCTATGATGAACATGCTTTAAAGTTATTTATTTATTTATTCATTTATTTTTGTTCATTATATATTTTTTTCATGGCTTAGGAGTAAAAAACATTTATTAAAAAGGTAAAGTTAATTAAAAAGCTGAAATAAACAAAATAAATAAATAAATGTTAGTAGTTTGGCAATAATATTCATGAATAATATTATAAATAATAAAAATATAAGCATATTATTATTCATTTATTTTAGTTTTTTTAAAGTAATTTATTGTATTTCTGTCTTCATTATGGCACATTAATTTTAAGGTGCATGTTCTTGTCCTCAGGGGCCATGAAGTGGCTAAACAGATCATTAGAAGATTAATGATCTGTTTCAGGACTGACAACAGTGCTAATAATTAAGGGCAGTTCTATTTATAAATGTTAAAATGAGATGCGTAAATCTTCAGAAGTAGCTTATATTTTCCAGCACTTGTATTTCATATGCCATATCAGCTGCATGTACCTTCTTCTTATTTTAACAGGATGTCTTAGCAAGAGGTCTATCTTTCAGCTTCCTTTCCAAATGGGGTTTGTCTTCTAGCTGAGTTTAAGAGAGCCTACTTGGGTTTTAGTTCAACTAGTATATATATCTTGCATATATCTGAATTCTTTATTCTTGTGGCAGTGTACTGAATATTGGCATGCCAGATGGCCTGTAATGCTGCTTGTCAGCTCTGAATCTCTGGGTTCTCTGGACCTTATGGTCAGCAGTCAGGGAACGAGGGGTCAGAGGTGATGGAGAAAGTGGGAAATCAGCATAAGGTACTCAATAAAACTAGAAAAAAAGAAAGATTTGGATGTATCCCAACATTAGTTTGCTGAGGAATTACACAGGCAGACTAAAACTCAGATTTTGATTTCATGCCATGTTGTAATGGATGGGGCAATACAGTATGACGCACTTTGAAAGTGAATGGACAGTAACGATCAATCGATAGTTTACATAGTGGCCAATATCTAAAGAGGTGTGACTGTGCAATGAGGCAAACATCTGTTTTTCAGTGAACTTCATTGGGAAACCTTTACAATCAATGACCGTGAGTAAACAAGTGTATCCCAGAATTTTCTAGAGACAAATGTGTTACATCAGCTCAGTGTGCCTGACCAATCGTATCCCTTCCTCAAACTTTGTTCTGAATGTAAACATTTGCATCCAGTGAGGTCAGAGCTCCTGGGCTGGTGCTGACAGAGTCCAAGGCCACATATGAGCAATGACCATATGATTTCGTAGGACGGCAGTCATGTCTGATTTGAGTGAGATCTTGGAGTTCGTTTAGATTGCTATTATTCGCTCTGTAAACTTGAGCTTGACTTTGCCATGTGACATTTATATTTGTGCTTTTGAGTCACAAGACTGATCACGTGAACATTTTTGGTGTTTATTTTTATCCTCATTCCATACTAGTGGTTCCCACCATATATCACAACTGTAGCCAGTTGAATTTGTAAGACATTTTACTTTAAAATAATGTGTTGTCTTCTCAAGTGAAACAAGATATTTAAAGAGAAAAAAACAACACACTCAAATCACACTCAGAGCATACAAATCAGTGGCTAATTGATATGAAATCTTACAATCTTGTTTGCACATTTTTGTACGATCTGCACTGATGGTTATACATTCAGGGGTGGATATTCATGCTTAAAGTCCCCATGAAATCAAAATTAAAGTTTTTTTGGGTGTTAGTATCAATATGTTAGTCTTAAGGTTATCTATAAGGCAGTGTGCTCCAAAACAGTGACAAAATTCGCATTTAGAAGATATAAGCATTCAAAGCTTGCAGTTCCTCACTTCCGACAAAACGGCTCAACGATTTTTTTGACGTCACATCGTACTTCAGCTTCTCATCAAACTTTCTGTCCAATCAAATGCTCTCTAGAATCCGAGTCCACAGAATTAGTATTTTCTGTACAGTGAATGGCACGTAGTGCACTATATAGGGGACAGGGAATGATTCAAACAGTGTAAATATGATTTTCATTGAGGAAAAAAAGAAGTCTGGTTTCACTCTGTGTCACGCTAACCACCGCACACACACTCTGCTCCGGTCCAGAGACATGATAGCACGGAGCGGATCACATGCGCGAGTCGGCACAGACCACAAAATGTATCAGAGCATTTCGAATTCTACATAGAATGCTATATTTTATAGCAATATGGATGAGATTGTGGCTGGCATACCCTGTCAAATGCGGCTTTACGGAGCTCAACGGCTCTGAACGGCTCTAGCCCAAGCTGTGATATAAACGAACGCTATTGGCTATTTTAAAAAGGGGCGGGGCTGCTTGATATGTCCCGCCCTGTCTTCCTGTTTCAGTTAAAATGACGTCAACACATAGAGTAACGCTGCATGTTTCTAAGCATTTCAGGGGACCTTTAAAATTTTTTTTTTCTTCTAAAAATTTTCCATTTTCCATATCATTCACATTGTACAAATTGAGAAGAAATCACCGCCTTATAAAATAATCATGTGAGCTGTTTAAGTTGCATGTACAAAAATACCATAGGTTTGCAAAGTTACAATGAAATATATAAAAATTAAATTTACAGAACCTTTATTAACTGAATAAAAACATAAAAAAACATATACACACATTCTTTATTTAGCATTTTGTAGATGTAGAGTTAAAAAATCTCACTGAATTTTTTGTAGAAATGGTACCTCTTGCTCCAACCAAAGTACTTCCCAGAAGGACTTGAAAGCATAGATCACTTAAACTGATTACATAACTATTAAAAACAAACATAATACAGACAGAGTAAGAACATCACTGATTTTTATCTGTAAAATAAACCTAAGCTGGCAGTTTGGTAAAGAGCAATCATTGCACAGGGCAGGTCCTTCTGACCTCAAACAGGTCAAACGTGGTACTAGAATGGTGTTCTGTGAATTATATTGGAGTGAATAATGTAGTATGTGCATATGGTATCATTTAGTGTCAGTAAAGCTACCACAGTATTCATTTGTAAGGGGTTTAGTTAAGTGCCTCGTATGGTTAACACCAGGGCTAGCAGGACTTAGTTTGAAGAGCGCTGGTTGTGAAAGTGTTGAACCCCAGTTTACCCCCAGGAGCCTCTGGGGCTTTAATGTAAAACGGTGGGCAGGTGGCCTTTTGACGCTCAAATTGACGCTTGAACTTCGGGCTTGCTCATAAAGAGAAGAATGAATGTTTGCTGTCTGCTATTGTAGGTGTGCTGCACTGCAAAGCTGCCATTTGCTTTAGATTGCTTTTTTTATTATGTTTTGAAAGCAAGAGCTGTGATTTGTAGCGACTTTAAAAGAGCAATATTGTGCTGTGTGAAACATTCGTCCTTGAATGTTGAGCTACTTTAGTTTAGGACCAATTTAAAGGTACAGACACCCTCATTTATTAATTGGAAGCTGACGGAAGGAGGCACTTAGTCTCAGAGTGCCAATTATATGTGATTCACTGTTTGCCAAACAGTTCAACCTGCCTAATTAAATTCAATCAAAATTCAATCCTGTGACGTCACTGTCTGCAGATGTTGACAGCCACACTTGTTACTCAACCATGCACAACTAGTTAAGCATTTTAAATGGGTAAAACCTGTTATCTTCGTCCTGCATGCACACACACTTAAGGTGACTGTCAATCGTCAATGGGAACCAGGTGTGGAAGTTTTGTTGTCGGTCCAGGTCAGAGAATTCGAGACGGGATGAAATAATGTAAAACTAATGTTCTGTGAAATATAGATGCCTGTAAAATATATGCCTCACAGCATGATTTTGCTAATCACACATTTGATGCTCTCAATAGTGTTCCTGGGTAGTAATGTGAAATTTTTTTCAATATCGTGAATTCAGAGATTAAGTAATTTTTTTTCCCCACTGGTCCAAAAGTTGTTATACGATTTATATATATTATTTATATATTTTATTATATAAAATAAAATCTATAAAATAGTTATATACAATGTGTATGTATATAATGTTTTTAAAAATATGATTTTACATAAAAGATTTGATCTTTTACATTATAAAATCAATTCATATATATGTAAATCATATTATATGATAATATTTATGCAAATTATATATAATAAAAAAAATAAAATATATTTAATATGTTTGTACATATAATTTTAATCTTTTATTTAAATTTGATATTTTAGATTTTCTGATTATATATAAAATCAGTTCATATATAAATATCAGATTATATAAAATATGTTTAAAATGTGTATCTATAATATATTTTAATTTTGATATAATTTTTAAAGATGTGATCTTTTGAATTTTTAGTAACACACACACACACAAACATATATGCACTCAAATGTTTATGAAATAAAAAAACATTTATATGCATTTGTTATATATTTTACTATGTAGATTTTATAATATAAATAAAAAGTATAAAAATATAAGACCACACTTGTATTGAACAGT